GAGTTTCTAAGTTAGGTCAATTGCCCAGGACCCCCAAACTAACAAATGACAGAGCCAGGATTTGAAAGGGCCAAAAAGAAGCAGTCTGGAATTCTTGGTCAGCTGGTGGAGCCTGGACTTCTGTGACAACAGCCACCCATGTCCTTGTGTTCTGCAGGATGTCCAGTACTCTGACATTGACTACATGGAGCGGCAGTTGGACTTCACTCTCAGCCCCAAATTTGCTGGGTTTCCCGCACTGATCACACGCATGAAGAAAGATGGCATGCGGGTCATTCTGATTCTGGTTAGTCTTCTGTGGGTATGTGGGTCACACATGAAGGTGACAGGACAAGGTTTATCTTTTCCTAGACTGGGACAGCCAAGTGGAGGTAAAGGCCTTTGGAAAAGAAGGCCTATGAGTGTGTAGGTCACACTTGAAGGGGACGGGACAAGGGTCATCTCTTCCTGGTTTATTCCCTATGAGTGTATATGTCACACATGAAGGTGATGGATCATGGGTCATCTGTCCTGGACATAGTCTTCTGTGACCATGCGGGTCATATATGAAGGCCAATAAAATTCAGGCCTTCATCATTCTGGATAGTTGTCAATGGGTGTGTGGGTCACACTTGAAGGGAATAGGATACTATTTTCTGTTTCTTGTTAGTTCTCTGTGAACATGTGGGCAACACACAAAGCGGATGGAACATGGGTCATCTGCCCTGGTTAGTCTTCTGAGAGCATGTGAGTCATACATGAAGGTCAATAAAATGCAGGTCATCCTCATTCCAGAGAGTCCTCAGTGAACATATAGGTCACACATGAAGGGGATGGGACAAGGATCATCTCATTCCAGTTAGTCCTCTGTGAGTGTGTGTGTCTCATGACAAGGACATGAAATGTGGAAGGAGATGGAATGGGGGCCATATCTTCCTGGTCTATGTGTGGGGAATGTTTGAGGAGAATGCTTTCTCTTGTATTTCTTTCCATGATAACAGTGGAAAGACTGAGGTTCACAAGAAAAATATATCCCTCAGAATTCTCAGAAATCTACAGTTTAGGTTGAAGCTAAGGCCTTCTCTTTTGACATGATTTCCTTTGTCCTGTCCTTAGTCATTCTCTGACTTTGGTTTCCCCATTCGATCTGTTCTTTGTTTCAGGACCCAGCCATTTCTGGCAATGAGACAGAACCCTATCCCGCGTTCACTCGGGGTGTGACAGATGATGTCTTCATCAAGGAGCCCAATGGTGGTGACATTGTCTGGGGAAAGGTATGACCCATTGAGTACCCACTATCCCAGCCTGGTGGTATGTTTTTTTTCATGTTGATTTGAGCACTTTGCATTGGACTTTGAGGTAAAAACTCATCTTTTTAACCAATATTTGACTACACAGATAAGGATATTTAAAGAAATGTAGATTACTTGTGAGAGCCACCTTTGCTTACATGAATCTGACATGAATATCAAATATTATCATCTCTAGGCGAAGTGGTGAGTTAATGCACTAGACTGCAAGGTCAGTTTGAACCACAAGGTCGGCAGTCCAAGCCCATGAGCCACTCCTCAGAAACCGTATACAGGGTCGTTATGAGTTGAAATTGAGTCGATGGCACTTAATAACCAGATTTTAAAATTCCTCAAGAAATATTATCTAAGGGAACTTCTCCCATATAGGGATGTTTGAGCAGTTTCCATTCCTTTTTTTTTTATCCCCCTCCCACAGGTCTGGCCCGATCTTCCTGGCATTGTTATCAACAGTTCTCTAGACTGGGAGAGCCAAGTAGAGGTAACGGCCTTTGGGATGTTGGGTGCCATTGGGGTTACCAGGAAGGGGCAACCACACCCAGTAGGAGAGTCTGCCCATGAGCAATCACATGACATCTAGCATTTGACTCCCAATTGGAAGGCAGATACTGTTACCCCAGGAAGACCAAGTCTCAGCGACCTTAGAGAAGTTGTCCATGGTCATAAGGTGTTAGGTGGCAGAAGTGATTTCAAACCCAGGATTGTCAGATTCCCCCTGAAGTCTTCCCTGGTGACAGCTCCAAGAGGGGTCTTTTCCTTGAGTCGGTATACTTGCTGCAGCTGCTGCCTTGGGTCTCTCTCTTTTGAAAAGTTCCCAACACCTGCTTTTGGTAACTGAGTCCTTTCTTCTGTGTATCTGTTTTACATAGATGGGTTTCTTCATCTTCACTCTGATAAATCTCCTTGTTTCGACTTGAATTTCCTTATGTGAAAACTTCCATCTCCTGGAAGTCATTTCTGACTTGTCATGGTCCTAGACAGTCTATGCTGTGGACCTGAAATCCCCTTTGCTCACATTTACCCAGTCTTTGTTGCTTAAATGAATGTGTGGGTTCCTTGATGGTCCAAGAAGGTTTCAGTCCCATCCACTGGTCAAGATGTGCACCGCGGATTGATGCCGGCTGTTGGCTTTGTTGTCACTTGCTGCAATAACACCTGTGAGCAGGGTTCCATACTGGGGTCTGGACTGCGTGGCTGCTGGACTGTGTTTATTTTGCTTTGTTTCTGGCATTGGGTGCAACCGAAACAGCAGAGACAGAACCATGCAGGTTTCAAGATTCAGAAAGAATGATGACTCAGACTCAGTTCAAGGTTTTTCCCCTTTGTCAGCTCCTGAGCAGGCAAGTGCAGAAGAAAAGTGAGGCTGACTGTCCCTGAAAAGATTTACCATCTCAGAAACCCTAACTGGGACACTTTGAATAGGAATTTACTCAATGCAAGGGGTTTGCTTTTCATCTGGAGCAGGTGGCACAAAAAGCAGGTGGCACATATGTCAGACAAGAGCGGCAAAAATGGAAATTTACACACATGTGACAGCCAGAACGCTCCTTAGAAGCAAGGATGTTGAGACTTTGTCTCATGTACTTTGGACATACTATCAGGCAAAATCCCTGGAGAAAGAGGAACCCCTCTACATGACAAACTGACACAGTGGCTGCAACAATGGGCTGAAACCCAGAAATGATTGTGAGGATGCTGTACAAGAGGGCAGCGTCCTGTTTTGTTGGACATGGGGGGGGGTCACTAAAAGTCTAAAGCAACTGGATGGCACTTAGCAACACATACACACAAGTGGGTGGGGGGAAGACTTCAAAAAGTTCATGAAAAATGGAATTTAAAAAATCATAGACGTTTCCCAAGAACTTTTTGAAGTCCTTTATATACATAAGTCTGGTTGCATAGTAGTTACGAGTCAGGCTGATAACCTCAAGGTCAGCAGTTCGAAACTACCAGATATTCTATGGAAGACAGATGAGGATTTCTGCTTCCACAAAGATTTGCAGCCTTGGAAGCCCTATGTTTTTGTTATAAAGTGTCATATAGTAATGCCAACCCATAGCGACCTTGTATAGTGTTTCCGAAGAGTGGCTGGTGAGCTTGAACTGCCAACTTTGCGGCCCAAACAGATTTTGCAGTCCAGAACATTAACCTACAGCGCCACACCAGGATTCTATATATGGAAAGCCTATACTGGGTTGCTATGAGTCAGAACCAACTCCAGGGCACATAGCAACCCCTGCCACCACCACATACATAGGCCACAGAAGGACTTGAGGGAGAGGACCTAGCTTTGTGCTCCCCTATTGCTTCTCACAGAGGGTCCCCTGAAATTGGTGGTCTGTGCTACTCATGTGGGCCCAGAGACCTGCCAGCCTGGTGAAGCTGAAGACCACAGGCTCCCTGACGGGTAAGCCTGGGAGATCTACTTCAGCAACAAAGGAGTTGTTGGTTGTTGAGTCAACTCGTACTCATAATGGCCTTGTTGCCAAACCAAAATGAGGGCTTGCTGTCTGTCACTGTAGTCAGTCACAGAGACGGCTAGAGATGGAATCCAACCTTTATTAACAGAAAGCCAGCAGTCTGGAGGACGATTCCTCAAGACTGAATTCCCGACTCACAAAAACAAGCACATTATATAGAGCAGCGCACCTCAACTAAGCATTTCATCTGTTTTTCTTTACGTTCCACAGTGAGGTGAGTAATAACAGAGCCTTTTTCCTTTATCTTAAAAAACACATTTCATTCCCAGGGTCTTCATGACCCATTGACTCAGGCAATCATCTCCATTGACCTTCAGCTTAATCTAAAAGCTTAGGCACATCTTGGTTTGTTTCCAGAGGCCACACCACTAAAGCTCAAGACCGTTTTTCTGACAGGAGACGGGAAAGGGAGAGCTTTTAGGTTATTTCCCACAAGGCAGAAACTAGAATTCTTAAAGGCATAGATGCCATGCTTTCAGCCTCAGGTACAGCAGAACAGGACGTTGCTCAGTCCTGAACCATCAGAGGGAACCAGTCCCTGGAGAAGGACATCATACTTGGTAAGGTAGAGGGTCAATGAAAATGAGAAAGACCTCCAACAGATGGATGGCAGAGTGGCAACAGCAATGGACTCAAGTGTAACA